ACCAGAGAAAAAAAAAAAAAAAAAAAAAAAAAAAAGGACAAGAAAACAGACAGAAAGAAGCTGCACTAGTCAGAGATACCTGGAAGCCAGCTGAGTTATGGCAAGTTCCAGGTGGGTGGAAAGGGCCTCCCCACCCCCATAAAAGCAGCTGGAAACAAAGGCCCAAGGGTCTTCCATCTTTCTGGAGCCCCCCCATCCTGCTGTGTCATCACAGTAGCTACCCATCTTCTCCTCCCCTCCCTTCCTTTTTGTCTTTACAAATAAAGTGTCTTCCTTTTGTTAAACTTTATCTCTAATTTTGTATTGGGGCTGAGTTTAAAATCCTAGTGGGGTACTCTGGCAATGGAGCATCAGTGACTGTCCCTCAGATGTGGCAACTTTGGTTCCCCGGCCAGGTACCAGACACAACAATATGGTTAAAACATCTAATATGAAAAAGAGAAAACAAAACAAATAGTAAACAACATCTTAAAGGAAACAAACTAAGCACAGATGAAAGTTTGGAAAAATCTATCATTCAGAAAACACAGCATTCACCAAAAAATAAAATGAAATACACATTATTCAACAAAACAGAAATTCACAGACATTAGAACAGCAGGAAAGAAAAGCTATTAAAAGATAAAATTAAGGAAGTTTCCCAGAAAGTAGAACAAAAGGTAAGAAAAAGCAGGAAAAAAATGATAAGAAAATTAGAGGATTCGTTCAATAATACCCATCATCTAAGTAACAGAAAGTTCAGAAAGAGAGAAGAGAAAACCATAAAAAGGAAGAAATAATAAACTATAAGAAAGTCATTTAAATCTTGAAAACATGAGTTTCCAGTTTGAAAAGGTCACAGGTATTATACTGCATAGGTTTTTTAAAATGAGTATTGTGTATTATGAAAGGCTTACTTTCATTGAGACCAACACACTAGAAATTTGATTTTTACCCAGTTATCAACCTTCCCAGGCAAAGACTATCAGTTTGGGTATCTAGATTTATAAAAAATGAAAGCAAAACAATAATATATACACTAATATTTTATCTGTTATGTGTTAAAAGCTATACGATAGCAGTATTTTCCAAGAAAAGACTAATAAACTTTTGCCAGGCACAATGACACACAGCTGTAATCCCAGCACTCAAGAGGCTGAGGCAGGAGGATTGTCTTGAATTTGAGGCTAGCCTGGACTACACAGTGAGTCCCTACACAATGAGACCCTATCTCAAAAAAAAAAAAAGATTAATAAATAATCATCCCAAGTGATTGAAAAATATATTTTATACTACAATCTCAATTTGAGAATCAAACATTATATATTTATTCCAAGAAGAGTAGATTATTACTTGGAACTTTGTAACCTTGGCTTATATAAAAATATAGGTAATTCAGTGTCATGATTTAAAGCAAAAAGCCCACACATTCCACAGCATTACTCTGACTTCGCAGAATTACCTGAAGTAACACTGCCTGAGGAGACATCAAAGAGGACACATCTCATCTCCCTCAGAAAACACCGACCTGAGACTGAAAATACATCTTGGCGGACAGATAATACAGAGGATCGGAGTGTGTCACTCTTTGTTCTCTTACCTACAGATGCAATTGAAGGCTAATCAGTAGCCTACTGTCAGACGTTTGTATTCTCTTCCTCAAAATGACATACTCTTTATAACAAAATCACAAGAATTAAAGTGTAGACCGCAACAGATTTATTTTTAAAAAGCACCCTACATGGCAAGTGGGGAGACTATTATTGTTTAATGGTATAGTATACTTTGTAAGATGAAAAGAGTTACAGGGCCAGGGAGATAGATCAACAGCATAGTGCCTACCTGGCAAGTGCAAGGTCCTGCCCCATTACCCAAAAAAAATAAAAAAGAAAAGAGTTACAGAGGTGAATGATGCTGATGGTTGAACAATATTGTGACAAAATTTAGTACCACTGAATTGTACACTTAAAATTGGTTAAGATGGCAAATTGTATGTTATATGAATTTTATCACAATAAAAAAGGGGGAAAATGGTTTATACACATTTTACATCACTATTCATCTATTGAAACTGTTTCAGAAATTTGTAATTATAAAACTCTTGCATAAATATTTATTTTAAAAAGTTCAATTTTTCGTTCTTACATCTGGCAATCCTCTGAGCAATGTAGTTGTGGAGAGTGATATGTAATGTAACAACCACTGTTGATTCGTATTATTTTGTCTAGAGACCCTGTATCACTTTGAATGTTCTTGCTCTGATTTGTTTTTGTTTTTGTTTTTGTTTTTCTCCGGTACCGGGAACCGAACTCACGACCTTGCGCTTGCCAGGCAGGCGCTTTTGCCGCTGAGCTAAATCCCCAGCCCCTGATTTGTTTACTGTTCCATTTTTTTGTTTGTTTCTCATTTACTACTCTCTTTAAAATAAAAAAAAGTTCACAACCAAAAAAATGTCAAGGTGTCTGAGAAAGGTTTTTTAAAAGCTAATATTAAAAAGTCTTAGCCTAGTTACTCTTAGAGAGAGCTCTCCACAGTTAAAAGTTTCTCAAACTTGGTGGTGGGTAAGGTCAGTGAAATTACTTCAACATCTTCATATCCAGATGATTTAATTCTTTATCTTAAGCTTGTCATTCCTACAATGACACTGGAAAAGTATGTAATTCTCATCAGCAGTTGTAGTGAGAAGTGCAATGCAGTTCTCTCTGCCCTCCTCCCTCGCTCCTGCTTTCTCTCTCTCTGAAGCACCTGCTACATATCTCAACACTTCAAAGTCAAAATGTCTGAAGTAAAGCTCACTCCTCTTCCCTCAAAACAAATTCACCTGTTTTCCTACCTTCCCAGAGAGAAACTGGTAAGAAACAAAATTTTTTTTAAACTTTTAAAAGAGAAACTTAAAATTTTCAAGTCAAGGAGGAAGTGAAAATGTGAAGGAAAATTCTGCAGAAAAGCCCCGAATCCCAGAAAATCTCCATGTGGAATACGAAGAAATGTACATACAGTCTATCACCACTGGAAACTATCGTATCTAATTTTAACTCCTTAAAAACTAGAGAACATTTCTCACATTCTCAAAAAGTGTACAAAGTATACAAAAGTTTTTAAAATTTAAGATGACATACTATGAAAAAGGAATAAAAACATTAACATAAATCACATACAATAAAGTTTTTGAAATGAACAAAACATACCAAAAAATTTCTGTGAAGTAACTTACCTGAACAAGATGAATAAGTGTTGTCAGAATAGCACATCTCAACATATTATGTTCTTCACTCTGCTTCCAAAGAAGAGGCAAATACTGTACCAAACATCCTACATATGGTCGTATCTACCACACAAAAAAAAGGATACAACAGAATTATATTAGGAAAAAAAAGGCAATTTACACTAAGAAACACTGACAGAGCACTTATAAGTTCCAGGGAACAAATATTTCATATTCACTAAATATAGGAGCCATATATTCTTTTCAAGATAAATCAGGGCTGGGCACGGTGGCACACGCCTGTAATCCCAGCACTCGGGAGACTGAGGCAGGAGGATTGCATGAGTTTGAGGCAAGCCTGGGCTACAAAGTGAATTGAAGGCAAGTCTCAACTACATCGTGAAACCCTGTCTTAAAAAGACAAACAGAAAAAAAAAAAAAAAAATTAGACATTAGATAAACCCAGAGGTCTATGCCAAATGTTTTTAGTTTTTTATAAACATCAAATTTACTGAAATAAAATTTAAGAGTATAAAACATTCTTTAGAGATTAATAGATAATGCTGATATGCCCTGCTTCTTTTTTAATAAAATAGCTAAGTGGAAATCACACTGTGCTTTGAAGAGTCAGCAATCATTTATTAATTTAACAATTATCTGATGGCATTTTCCAAGTTTCAGGCTCTGAGGACAAGGCACTAGGAAAGACGTAAAGAAACCATAAAAAACCTCACAGTGAAAAAGATTGAGTACAATGACCAAGGTACTATATATATGAGGCATAGGGGAAACACAAGTTTTCAAAGTATGAAACTGTTGTGCCCACTATGAAAATGTTATGTCCACTATAAATTAAATTAATGTGTTCTAAAAATATAAGCTGAAACACACCTTGACAGAGTTTCTTAAAAATAAAATAAATCTACACTGAAGCTGGACAGTGCTCCAGCTCCAAGTTTAGGAGCACAGTATTTTTTTAATGGGAAGAAGGCAAAACAAAATTTCGTAACAAGATGATAGGAGAATAACAATAGTTCATACATTGCATATTATTATCTTTAAAGTAGTTACTCAGTACAAGACATGGGCATAAAAATTCTCCAATATTAGTGCAAACTTTTCTGTGTTATAAACTAAGAGACACTGATAGTATAACTTGCATTTTTTTCTTTTCTCCTCTTTCCTTTCCCTTTTCCCCCACTGTAGTTGTTTCCTTTTTAAAATTTCTTCCCATCTCACAGTATCGACTGTACATTTTAAACCTTATTTATTCTTTCAGTTTCTCACACTAGGGAGACAATACTATGTTTACATGTGAATCTGATTTATTTCACTAATGAGTATGGTCTCCAATTGTATCCATTTACCTAAAAAGTCTCATTTGTGCTTCTTTATGGCTGATAGTACTTCACTGTATAAAAATACCACATCACTTTTATCCATTCCTCAGTGGATGGGCATTTGGGTTGTTTCCAGGATTTAGCTATTATAAATTGTGCTGCTATAAACATGGGTGCACATATATCGCTGTAGTATATGATGTTTTTAATACTTCTGGGAAGATACCCAGAAGAGGAATAGTTGGGTCAAGTGGGACCTCCAATCCTAGCTTTCTGAGGAATCTCCATACTGATTTCCACAGTGGTAGCACCAGTCTATATTCCCACCTACAGTGAATAAGTCTTCCTTTTACCTTACAGCCCCTCCACCATTTGTTATTGGCTGATTTCTTGATAATCGTCATTCTTTCTGGAGTGAGATGGAATCTCAGTGTTGTTTTAATTTGTATCTCTCCAATGACCAATGATGTTGAACCTTTTTTCATATATTTATTTGCTCTTTGTATTTCTTCATTTGAGAAGTGCCTATTCATCACAGATGCCCATTTTTGGATTGGGTCTTTGAACTTGTCGGGGGGGGGGGGTGTCTGATTTTTTTCCAATTCTTTATATGTTCTAGATAGAAGTACTTTGTCTGAGGGACAATTGGCTAAAATTTTTTCACAATTTGTGGGTTTTCCTTTCACTCTGTTGGTGATTTCTTTTGATGTGCAAAAACATTTTAATGAAATGAGGTTTCATTTGTTGACTGTTTGAAGTATTTCTCATGCAGTTTGGGTTTTGTTCATAAAATGTCTGCCTATGCTTATATCTTAAAAGATGTCTACCTACTTTCTCTTCCAGTATATTGAGTGTTTCTGTTTTAATATTTAGATAACTAATCCATTTTGATGGTAGTTTAGTGCATGATGAGAGACACAGGTCTAGTTTTAGTCTTAACAAAAATAACTATATATATATATATATATATACACACACACACACACACAGACAAAAAGAGAACAAGTAAAGTCAAATGTTAGTAACTAATAAAATTGACCAAATGACATGTGAGTTTGATGTTTTTCTTTTTTTTGAAAAGTCAGTATGTCTACTTTTATTTATTGCTTGAAAAAGGCCCTTTGAAGAAAAACAAATGCGTTTTCAACAGCTCCCCTCAAAAAATAAAAAGAGCTGGGAGCACCTTGTTCAAGCAGACGGTGAGGAAATACTATTTTAGCCACCAGGGCATTCTGTGCTGCACCAGCAGCCTAGAGCGGGTAGCACAGCAAACATGAATGTTGGAGTTGTCCACAGTGAGGTGAATCCAAATACCCTAATGAACAGCTGGGGTATGTGGCTGGCATATGCATTAGGAGTTGGCTTGCCTCATATTGTCTTTCTTACTCAGCATTCCTTTCTGCAGTATTCCTGCTGCATGGACCTTAACAAATACTATATATAATCTGAGGAGGTATGCATTTTTACATGTAGTGAAAGGAACACCTTTTGAAATTCCTGACCAGGGTAAAGCAAGACTTCTAACTCACTGGAAAAAACTGGACTATGGAGTACAGTTTACATCTTCATGGAAATTATTCACAATGTTGCCAATAATTCTATATTTTCTGGCAAGTTTTTATACAAAGTATGATCCAACTCACTTCATCCTAAACACAACTTCTCTCCTGAGTGTGCTTATTCCCAAAATGCCACAATTACATGGTATTTGGGTCTGTGGAATTAGTAAGTATTGAAAGATTTTAAAACTGAAAAAAAACTTTTACAGCTACTGAGTTTCCTGTAGGGAAGGAGTAGTTAGTAAACTACACTGTTTCTGTGACAATGTGAAATGAGAGGTCTTTGCACTGGGGGACCAATTGCTGGTTTTTCATATGCTGCCTTGAAGTGCAAGATTCCAAAAGATGCCTCTATTTAGAACATGTGGTACATTTCAGAAGAGAGGCTTTATTGGCACTACAGTGAGGATGTACTACAGTGAGGGTATAGTAGATAAATCCAAGGCAATATAATATTTTTAAGAAAATAGGACCAACTTAACTTACAATGAGTTGGCATTAGGTTACAAAAAGACAATTTCCAATCAGTCATAATTTAAAGAGGTTTACATGTGAACGAGAATCATCTCTGTACATGTTTATTACAGATTGTTCCTCTTATATAAGATGATTTATGCCCTCTTGTTTCTAAAGCCAGTTCCTACCTTACAAGTATGCCTTTGGTTTTGCTGTCTAAATACTGTGTGTTGATAGATAAGGTCAGTTTTGCAAACATTACATTACAGAATTCACAAAGGTCCTCTTTTATGACTGGGGATAGAAGATACCAGTTATCTGACAGGCAGCCTCTGAGTCAGCATTATAATTTTGGAACAAAGTGAGTTCTACTGCTTTTCTAGACACAAAGCTGCTAAACAAATAAAAAAAATTTATTTTAAGCTGTTAAAGTATACGGTACTTTAAATGGGTCTGTTCACTGGATGGAGTAACAATTGGTAAAATCATCATTGTTTAGGAAAAGAAATGTAAAATAACTATAGCCACCTGTGTTCACAAAAAAATGCTTCTTTAGCAATAGTACCAACGGAAGTAGTAGCCTTTTTCAGCAAATCTGTAGTGAAAGCTGACATTGTCTTTTTTTATTCCTCCTGCTGTCAAGTTTCACAGTTTCCCATTAATATTTTGCCTTTAAATATGTGGGTCTTAGTGTAGATGTTACCAAATGGTAACTATTTCCAGAGCAATGACCATGTTAAATTTTTGTGAATTAAGGAAGCTTCCTGTGGTTGTTAATATTAATTGCAAGAAATAACTACATACTAAGTAGAAAAGTGAAAACATCCAGTAAACAAAGTTCTGACATAGAATGAGCCTGAGAAACTCAGTAACATTTATAAACAAAATTGAATGAAAAGAGTTGCAGACCAACTTAAAAGTCAATTTATGTCAATAAACTGTTAGGAATAGTAATCATTGTTCTGTATTTCAAAAGTATAGAGTTTAGAAATCAGTTGTATGATACAAAGTTGCCTTTGTACCTTTATCTTTTCCCATGTACTTTTAAATAACTGGTAATCTACACTATAATAAAATTTTTCTTTGGTGTAAGATTAAAAAAAGAAGAGCTGGGAGATGTGGCTTGGTGCTCACTAAGTTTAATCCTCTATACCAAGAAGAAAGAGAGAGGGTTGGGGATTTAGCTCAGCGGCAAAGCGCTTGCCTGGCAAGCGCAAGGTTGTGAGTTTGGTTCCCGGTACTGGAGAAAAACCAAAAAAAAAAAAGAAGAAGAAAGAGAGAAAGAAAGGGAAGGAAAAGGGAGAAGAGTGGAGGGGATGCCCATGGGTTTAAAAAAAACACATGGACTTGAAGGCAGGCCAATTTCAATTATTTGCATAACATTTAAAAAATACAGATTTAAGAATGTTTTATAGTCATCAAGAATATGCAAATTAAAACCACAAGGAGATACCCTCTTATATGTGTCAGAATGATTACTTAAGAAAAAAATAAAAAGGGTAAGTGTTGGCGACAATGTAAAGACACTGAAACCTTTGTATGTATATCCTACTGATATACTCTTAATGAAAATGATACACTCCTAATGAAAAATAGCATGTGGAAACCAGTAGGAAGGTTCCCCCAAAATAATTAGAAGCCAGGCATGGCAGCACAGCATCACTGAGAGTTTGAGACCACCCTGGGCGACATAGTGAGCTGAAGGCCAGCCTGAACTAACTACATAGCAAGACCCTGACTGAAACAAACAAACAGAAATCGGAATCACTGTATGGTTCAGCAGTCTCATTTTTCTGGGTGTTCATAAAAAAGAACTGAGGTCAGGATTCTGAAGAGATTACTGACTGATCATTATAGTACTGCTTGCAATAGCCAATATGTGGAAATACAACCTAAACACCCATAACCACTAAAAGGATAAAGAATATATGTATATAGAAACAAAGGTATACTCAGTTGGTCTCTATGCACAAATTCCATATCCTTAGTTTAAACGAACATTGGGTAAAAATATTTAGGAGAAAAAAGTTGCATCTGCATTAAACGTAAACTTATTTTGTAACTTAATAGTACAATAACAACTTACATTTGAATTGCTTTATATTAGGCATTATAAGTATTCTAAATATGACTTACAGTATAGAATAAGTTGCAAGTACTACACCATTTTATATAAAGGACGTAAGTAAGCACCCATGGATTTTGTTATCCTGGAATCAATCATTTCTGAGGATACTGAGGGATAACTACACATACTATTCAAAAGGGTTGGGGGGAGAATCCTTCAATATGCAATAGCATAGATAAACTCATTATGCTAAATAAAGTAAGCTAGTCTCAGGAAAACAAACACTGAATGATTCCCCTTGTATGATGTACTTAAAATAATCAAATTTATTAAATCAGAGTAAAATTAGTGATTTCAAGACTATTCATACAACCCTGTACCAAGTCAAAAACAATGTATTATATACTTAAAGATTTGTTAGAGGATACATCTCCTGCTAAGGTGTTCTTACCACAGAATTTCTGTAAGGTAATGGGGAATACTATGAATACTATAGTCTCATGACTTAGTCTATACATATTGGTAGGAAAAGCTCCACTTTTATTTATAACATATTCCTGAATACATGTATATGAAATATGCTAAAAAAAACTAACTAATGTTTTAACAATGGCTTCTTCCTCAGGAGACTTAAAAAAATGTAAGTCCCTATGATACTTGATCTTTTAGATATAATTTTCAACAACTTATATCTCAAAGAGGCAGTTTGATTTTGCTGTCTTTCTTTAGCAATGCACAAGCTCAAAGAACTGCCTGACCCCATACCTGATGACTGAATGTTTATTTTGACTAAATACTCTGGGATCTCTGCACTAAGAAAATTTGATTGTAGGTTTTCAAATGTTTTTACAAAAAGTACAGGCCATATAATATTCAAATAACTGTACACTAACAAAGAGAGTCCACATCGTTGAAATTGTAAAATTTGAAAAAAGTCAAATTTAGTATTCCAAAGATACCTGAGAGATACATGTGACAAGGACATAAATGATGGAAACTGTTTGATGGTTAACACACACACAACAAAAATAACGGGTTACCAAAAATGGGGGTTTTTTTACAAAAAAACAACATTTCCTATGTTAGTTTGACCTCTAAAAATAAAAACTTCTGCTGAGTAACCACATTTTCTTACTTATTGATAATATAGTTACTTGAGCTACTTATACTTTGATGTTCTGAAAGATGAGAGTAAATATAAATCCAAAAGTATTTTTAAAGCCACCAAGCAAAAAGAACTCAAACTTTTAGGAAAAAACAATTTTGCATACCCACGTGGGAAAACACCAGAAAATGCATGCCTACACAAAAAGAAAAACTGTAAGAAAATACTAGCCAGATATATTTAGATATAAAAAGATTATAAAAAATAACAAAACTAGTATTTATATTTAACTTTTTAAACAAACAGAAGTTTACTGCATTAATATAGTATTCTAAAGCATACTGCACATTTGTAACAATTTCATACTCATGAAATACTATACATGAGATGAGCTCGGAATTATCTTTTCCAATTTTTACATGAAGACACAAGGTTTAAAGCTCTGCCCAAGCTAAATGGCAGAGTCAGGGAGTTACAGTAAATTTTTAAAACAGTTGACATAAGTATTGATGACTTGTTTTGAACTCACTAGGTAGCCAATGCTAGCCCTGAACTCGCAGTGATCCTCCTGCCTCGGCCTTCCAAGTGCTGGAATGACAGGGGTGTGCCACCATGCCTGGCTTGAAACAAGTTTTATAACTTAGTCTCACTCAGGAGACTAAGGTAGGAGGATCACCTCAGTGAGTTCAAAGCCAGCCTGGGCTACATAGTTCAAAGCCAGTCTGAATTGCACAGCAAGCTGGAGAAAGAAAGGAAGGGAGGGAAGGAGAGAGAGAGAGAAAAAGAGAAAGGGAGGGAGGGAAGAAGGGAGGGAGGGAGGAAGGAAGGAAGGAAGGAAGGAAGGAAGGAAGGAAAGAAGGAAATAGTCCAACTAATGTAATAAGAATTCCCAGCGCCAAGAAATTTGTAAGATATTACTACTTTTAGACACTAGTATCCAGATCTGCCCAAAATGATTAACAGCAATTCAAACTCAAACTGGGAGTTGCATGTTTAGTTTAGATGGAACAGTGGTACTGCTATATGAACTCTGGCAAGTTCTTAAAAGTTCCAAATTACTTCAGATAATAAATTCTAACTCCCATCCTAAGGTTTCTGTGAGAAAGAAATGAGAAATATATGCAAAGCACTAAGCACATAAAGAGTATGCTGCTATTACTCAATTACTGATAGCTATTCTCACCAATTGCTCTGGAAATAATAACCTCAAAGTGTCAGAATTCAAAAATAGTAGATCCAAGAGGAGACGTTAAATTTGTGAAATTCAAATCAGTTATCCTTCCCTAGTATTTTACAGTTACTGCAATGCTTTTCAAACTAAGATATATAGTGGTTTCTATGATATAAAAAGCCACAAGATAATTGTTAAATTGGTTATCTGGATTACCAATTTGTGACCAAGGTCAAGAGGGATAAAAGATGCTAAACAACTTAGCTGTTAATAACAGCTACAAATCATTTTTATATTTAATCAAATGTGATATAATGTAGACTAGATTATAAACACTGCATTTTTAAAGTAAACAGATTTATTAGAATCTAAGGACACTTGCTCTTATACCCTCAAAAACACAGAATTTTAAGATTATTGAGCATAAACTAGATCTTCTAAGATATGGAAGATTCTACTTCCTTTTCTTTTTTATTTGTGTTTTACTTTTTGAGACAGACTCGCTATATAGTCCACACTGGTCTAGAACCCACTATGTACCCCAGGCTACTCTCAAACTTGAGGCGTGCTGCCTCACATGGCCAGAAAATTCTTTCTAAATGCTTCTACCTTACTGATGTAATTTTTTAAAATATTTTAAATATTTTAAACTTATAAGTATTTTAAACTTTCTTAGTCTTTTCTAAAAGCTCAAATATGAATGTCAGTTTTGCATAATACATAACTAGTATCACAGACTGTGTGTTTAATGAATGCTTTTTAATTATGTAACTAAAACCAAGTCATTAATGAATTCTACACATACCCACTCACCTCTCTGACATTTAATTTCATATTTTACAACAAAATTACCTGCATGTTGACTCTTTCAATCACACAAGAAAGGACATGCAAAACGTGCATCTTTGTGTCACATTCTGTAACTTGCTGCAGTAACTGAAAAAGTAGTGTGAACATGGTCTCCAAATACTGCAGAAAGAGGAAAACAATTCAGAAAAGTAGATGTACATATATGAAATAGATCGCAATACCAAAGCAATAACATACAGAAACCCAAACCCTTAGTAATAGTTAAGCAACTTTAAATTTTTCAAGCTAATTTTTATTGTATTAAATTTCTTTATTGCTATTAAATGTGTGCATTTCAGAATCTTAATCATCCACAAAGTGTCTATTTAGAAGACTGTCTAAACTGCTTATATTTACATTTTATTCTGTTAACTAAGTTGTTAACAGTGCCTTCTTACTATCTTCTACATGTCATTTACTATTCAGATTGTTTTATTTTGTAGGGCATGCATATTAAAGCAAAAGGAATACAAATTATGGAACTCACATAGGCAGCTACCTGAGGTGGCCCTTAACATATGTTGCATGGAAGTGTAAATTTTTGTAGCTATGTACTTGTTATTCTAAAAAATCAGAGAGTATGAGAAAATAAGTAAATACTATGTCTGGCTTTGAATATAAATACTATGTTGTTGCAAACAGACAAATCACAGAGACTTAAACAGAACAAATACAGTGTTTGTTTACTCAATATCTGGTTCATTTTTTGTTATCCTTGTGTTTTTGTGTTCGTGGGTCTTAGGGTCTTTTTTAATTTGATGCATTTTTACAAAAATTTCTAGAATACATTTCTTTCATCTAGAAATATGTAGTGACTATTTTGTCATATTAAAAAAAAACACTACTCTGGAAGTGCCTCCACCTATGTCAGCCACAGAATTATATATAAACATTTTATAATAAAATTTTTCTCCTTGCCAGGATCTCTGAAGAACACTATCACACCAATTTTACTGACTGACAAGTTGAATCAGTAACTTGATTGGCTTGACAGCTGCCTAGGGAATTAGTAAAGTACACTTTTAGGTGTGTCTGGGTGGGATATGGGCCAAGACCTCGGGTACTATCTGTTCCCTGGCCTGATCCTCTCTGGCACTGTTTCCCTGCTCTACTTCCCACTTCCCATGAAGAGAGCCACTTTGTTCCACATGTCCTTCCCCCATGACAGTCTTGCCTTGGAGTCAGCTGACCCTGGATAGAATCCCCTGAAACCTCAAGCCAATTAATCCTCTCCTCCTTTGAACTGTGGTTATCAGTGCAATGGGAAAGCTGGTCAATACATTGCCACATTTAATAAGTGCTGACTGAGTATTAACTATGTAAAAATATCTTGCCAGGTGCTGGGGCTGAGGACTGACTATGGCATGATATTCTGCTCTTCAAGTAATTTATAATCTAGTGTAGGATTCAGACATACCTATATAAGTTATACAGCGAAGTAATGTAAAGATTAAAAGTAACAGGCACAAATAAAGCAAAAATACTAGACATTTTATAATTGTGACAAAAGAAAAATTTGATAGTCAACTTCAAAACAGATCAGTTAAATAAAACATGCATAGAAATGACCTTTTACAAAAAAGAAGTTATAAATACAAGTTATGTTCCCAAAATAATCCAATGTACTCTTAAATTCAATTTTAACAAATTATGGATATATACATACAAAATTCAGCTATAAAATAACACCATATTCAAAAGAAATAAGCAGAAATTATTATAAAGCCTAAAGATGAATATTCTTACCGGTAGAAATTGATCTGTTCTAAATTCAAAATCATCAACAGGTAAAGCAGTTAAGGCATACTGAGAATATTATGAAGTTTATCAAGTTTAAAATCTATCTAAAATAACAAAACAATCAAAAACTACACATTAAACTAACTAAAAATTTCACAAAATAACATAAAAGCATTACAAACTCCTATGCAATGAAGAACTTTAAAGTATTCAAAAGGATATTTAACTTCAGAGTTGTAGCCGTTTCAATTCGGACCTAAAAGAAAGTATACTCCTTAAATTTTTAATCATGCTAGAACTACTAAACATTTTTAATACCTAACAAAAATTTTTATTCCAAACCACTTTAATTTTTGTTAATATTAAAGTCACAAAGTATACTAACAAGCAAAAATAAGGACATAACCCTTAACTTGCAACCAGAGATAAGAAGAAAAAAGTATCATTTATTCCTACCCTGCTCACTTTTATGTAACTTGCTTAAGGAAACTTTAAGCCAAAAAATGACTGGTCATGATTATGTGGTGACTGAGGAAGAAGAGAGTGTGGATGATGCTGGGGGCAAAGGGAAGGATGAGAAGCAAGAAAACAGGCTGCAGCTAGGCAAGCTGGAAGACGTATAAGTGAAGGGTACAAGAGGAGGAGGAGGAAGAAGATGGGCAGGAGAAAGAACAATATTACCCTTAACCTCAAATTACAGTAAAACCTTTATATACCCAAAAAATACATCTGAGATTTTCTAAATCCCAAAGTTCACAAATATAGCAAGGTTTAAGAAACCTCCTGACCTCTCAAATTATATTTTTTTTATGGATCAGCATGGTACCTGGGTAGATTATATCATTAAAATATAATCTCCTATTCACTCAAGTTTTACATCTGATATGATCAGCTAGTTTGGCACAGGCTAACATACTCACAGGTTTCCATATACAATAACATGAACTCAAGCCATGATTAAATTCTGCCTTGTACTCCATAAACTAATATATCTAAAACTTTATACAGGCTCAGAGCCATTACTTTCTTATCTATATTTTCCACACCTGTAATAGCAACTATTATTCTCTTTGCATATATTTTCAGGAAGAAAAAGTTTTAAACATTTTATAATAGCTTCTGAGTCTAGAGATGCTGACAGGGCACAATGAACAAATGCTAAGTACTATACTGCCAAATACACAGATTCCAGGGCTCTGTGTTTAAATTACTTAACAAATTTGCTAATAATGTTTGCAAATTTGATCTGGCTTTCTACAAACTTGCCAATAACTGTCAGAGTGGTTGGTTCAAATCCTAAACTTGAACAAGTCTATCACCTGACCACTTTCTGCACCCTGTCCTTAGAAACAGGCAGTCTACAGACTAAAGCAGTGAACACAGTTCTGGAACTAGAAGAAAATAGTAATATCTCAGGAATATAAGACAACCAAGAAAATCTAAAAGTGGGCATGAAAGAATAGTTACCTGCTAAGGAGAAATACGACTTCATAGTTTAAAAAAAGTATATTCCTTGGATTCCTTCCTATCTTTATCTTCTAATTCTTTTAATAAATATTTTTGTAAGACTTGATTCTATACTAGGCATAAAAGATACTAATGTGAAAAATGTTATTCCATACTTTCCTATAAGCTGATACTACTACTACTATTACTAGTCAGTACTATTTTTTACAAAGTCAAGATCACTCATTACATAACTTGATATATTTCTTCGGAAACACACAAGTAAGTTTTCTACAAGGATAAAAAGTATCTTCAACTTATTCATGTCCTTCTAAGAAAGAACAATTTTAAGTTGATTTTCATATACTGTAGACACCAAACACATCAATAATAAACATAAGACAGAATGTAGGAAGCATACAGACTACGGTTTCCTTGCTTCCTGATTTTAGGCTGGCCTAATATTTTGCTATCTCACGGTTATTTTATATTTGGAAATTACATTTAATTAACATCACTGAGTCCAGCATTCTGGTTTCTTTCAAAACACACACTAGCACAGAGTTTAAAACCTGTAGCAGCTATCTGACATAGAAAAGATGGGCCAACAAAAACAAAATCAAAGCTATAGAACAGAAAAACCAGGAGACCCATAGAAGCCATAAGAGTGGGAAGTTAGCATTTCCACAGATCTTGCAGTAACTCTGCCCAGATCCTGGCTGTAACTCCCATAGTGCAAGCATGGTTTGCTAAAGTCTTGCCTATTCCACTGAAAGTTTCTTATTAAACTCTACTACACAAAGTCTCATTTTAAATATTCACTATTTCCATGCTGACAGTCAATCTACCCACAAAGATGGCCATTTCTTTGCTTCTCAGACAATCATAGTGCACCCCAAACTATATACCTTTTAGTTATATCAGCTTACATCCTACATAGTTTCCCACATGAGTGAAAGATTACACTAATTTGTAATGGTTGAGTGTTGTTTTCATAATATATGAACTATTCTTTCATGCCCACTTTTAGATTTTCTTGGTTGTCTTATATTCCTGAGATATTACTATTTTCTTCTAGTTCTAGAACTGTGTTCACTGCTTTAGTCTGTAGACTGCCTGTTTCTAAGGACAGGGTGCAGAAAGTGGTCAGGTGTTAGACTTGTTGATGGTTACACAGATAACCTAAGTAAACTTTTTTAAAATTTATAAAAGTTAAAGATATAACTGGTTCAGAAACCTTAAAACCTAAAGCAGCCCAGTATTAACCAAGTATTATGGTTAAAGAATTGTCCGTAAGGTTAGGGGTCTAGCTCTTATGGTAAAGTGCTTGCCTAACATGCGCAAGACCCTAAGTTTGATCACAGGAAATCACTGCCATTATCATCTGCAATCCCAGGAAAAGAAGGCTACCCTCATATGAGATTTAGTAATTCTAGTCTGTGGAAATTACATGTTCTCAAACCTGAAACTTGCAATAAACACTGCACATGCTAAAATAATGTTTTAAGAGCCGGGATAAAAAGGAGATGTTTTTTAAACAGGTATTTTGGCCTACTGTATGGAATCTACACAGCAGTTCCCAAATAATATATGAAGAAAGGTCATTATGCTTTAAGAGATAATGGTAAGTGTAAAGAGGCTCTCAACAATACGTACACACACTGTATCACCTGCAAACACGACTAATAATAAATACCACGTGGCCTTTTATAAACTACAAGAATTTTCTGGTTTCCAAAGGCACAAAAATGTATTCCCTACAAAGTGAAGGTTTGCTAGACAGATTGAACCAGTGGAACAGGACAACATCCAGAAATACCCATATATTTATATATCTGGTCTATGACAGAAGTAGCTTTATAATAACTAAGAAAATTATAAAGTATCCTATAAATTATTGTTGCATTGTTATTTTTAAAAAACAATAAAAATGAAACCTTAGTTCATATCATGTTCAAAAATAACCAAAAGAAAACAGATTTCTTAAGCAATAAATCAATGACTCTGACTATATTAAAATTAAAAATTTCTGCTTAACAAAAGACAACAGGAGAGACTAGAAAGGTATGGTGAGCCAACTGCATCTGTACTGTTTTATTTCATAAATACAGTGTTTGAAATATATACAAGATAATTATGGAAGCATATACTAACCAGAGAAGTCACTCCTTCCAGTTACTACTCTTTCTACTCTGTCATAGCTAGTCTCATCATAACATGAACACAAGAACAGACAACTGCAGCTGCTCATTATCAAATCTACCCCAGCTCAAATGCAGATTTTAAAAGCCAGAGACAATTAAGATTTATTATGACTGATACATTTTGTGTTTATACATGTGTGTTTGCACATTTGCCTTTATGTACATATACACACATATGCCTACATGTATATGCTTGAATAATGTCTGCATATATATACATGATTAAGCATCTTCCCACCTTTCACTGGCCAGCATATTTCATGGGTTACTATTAAAGCAATATAATTTATATATTCCTGATTTTTGACGTGCCTTTTATGTGCTTTTTAAAAAATGACCAAAGTATGCAACATTAACTCAGTACCTTACTAAACACTGTCTTCTTAAACATGTATCACAAAACAATAGCAACGGCATAAAACAACTGTAAAAGATGAGAAAATGAAATGTCGCCACCAGAAGAGCGAACAGGAAGGATAAGAACCGAACCTAAAGCAACATTTCCTCAAAATGTATTCCATTAATATTCATGTACGACCATCTTGGATAGCACATGCAAAAGTGCATTTTTAAAGGTTCTGACCAATTTGTAGTAGAGAGGCCTAGTTGAATATTTAGCCTAGAGTTTTCCACACTTACCTTTCCATGAAATCCTTTCTCACCATTAACATTTGTTGACATAGGGTATAATTAATGCTCGGCTTTTACAGTGTTGACCAAAATAACACCTCCCTTTCTGTCTCTCTACTTCTGTGGTCTCTCGTAACTAACATGCATGTAGCTAACATGCTTAAACAAATTGATTACAGAATATTTAGAAGAAAATCTCAATTATTTATACAAAATAGGTAACACTTAAGCAAAATATCCAAAGATCAGCTCTATGTTCCTTTAGAATGTAGCATATTTCTACAACAAATTCATCTTTCCAATTATGTTTTTATTTTCTTTCAGTGAACACTGGAAGTACTGTAATTTACTTATCATGGCATACCTAAAAATGAGAAAAGCATGGCCCAAGCCCTTGCTGAAAGGCAAAACATTCCAACAGGCTTAAAGTCAAAAGGGGACAAGGGGGTGAAACCCAGAGAAATAATTAGACAAGATCTTAGCACAAATCACAGAGGGAAAATCCACTGATTTTTATCTAAAAACAATTTGAATATCAGGAAAAGACTATTATTGGATTTGTTTTGTTTTTAAAGACTATGCTGGACTCAAATTGAAGGCCAAGACCAAGTATGCATTAAGTCTCTAATATATTCATTCAGACATAAAGTACAATTAGTGAAGAAAAAAAACTATTCTTTTTTCTTTTTTGGTGATACTAGGGATTGAACGCTGTCCCTTCTCACTGAGCTATATCCCAGCCCTGTTTTAATTTCTATTTTCAGACAGTCTCACTATTTAACTAAACTGCTCAAGCTAGGCTTGAACTTCCAATCTCTCAGCCTCAGCCTCCCAGATTACTGGGATTACAGGCATGTGCCACCATTCCCAGCTAACTATTCCACACAGTTTTCAAACTTCTTAAAATCACAGACCTGGGTAAGTAACTGACCTATATGGTAAAATAACAAACCTACAGTTTTGAAGAAAAAAATACAACAAAGAAGGTATTCTCAAATTTCCATAAAACAAAATTAAGATTATATGAACATCATTTTTAAAAAATCCTGAAACAGTAATTCCAGAGGGTTAAAAAAAAATTCCTATATAGGATACAGAATCAACCATAGGATGAAACAGATTACAATGCTATGTCAATGACAAAGTTTGTCCCAAATAAGAAAAGAACAAGCATATTATCAAGTGATCTTAACAACTGCCTTCCTTTTCTCTTACTAAAAAATTATAAATGACTTTAGAACAGAAGAGTTTGGTTAAATACTTTTTCAGCAACTAGTACTGGGAAAGACAATAATAAAAAGACACTCTATCTTCAAATTAAACAGTTCACCAAGGAATAACAACTATGGCAATAAGCCACACATGGTAAAGAAAAACACAGTTTCTAAACTCAAAATTTAGTAAAGGTTAACTTTCTAAAAACAATTATTTTAAGACATGTAAGCCACATACCACTAAATCTTGATCTTGAAGTAAGTTACAGATTGCCTCATACAGCATGGGTCTTAAGTCAGATTTGAATTTTACAGAAATCCACTGACCAATCAGCCAAATCACCCTGCGTCGCAATGGTTTATACCTAGATAAGGAAAAATCATGAAATTAAAATGTTAAATATTTGGAGAAGCCCCTTCTACTTAGTATATGGCATCACTTAAATCTAAAATATAGCAATAAACGCAATCTGCACTTACACAAAAAATCAAAAGCTATTTCTAATGAACCACAGTACAAAATACTAACAATAAAGTCCTGACGTAAGTAAATGAAATTCTTAGGGATATATACTATAGCCCTGATTCTTTTTGCAGTGAAGAACTATAACACAAATATGTACACAAAAACCAAATCCATTTCTGTTTCTCAAGTAACTAAAACAATGCTAATGCTCTACATCCCAAAGATGGGAGACAGTCTTATCCTCAATTTTCCTATTTCAGTTCTATTAATTCCATAAAAATCATTTTCACAATACTATGAGACCCCACTGTTTACACAGTACATTCACATAAATAACTTCAGCTAAACATTAATTTTTGAAGAGATGTCCGACTACAGAATATGACTCAGATTCATAAATAATGTCATATTTAAAAAGTTGCCTAACATTTGCAGTAACATGTACATACATTTATGTCTCTATTTTGTCTTGGATAAAGAAAATGAATGAGCCTTTTCTAAAGCAAAAATATTCTAATTTTTTTGTTTGTGTTTGGTTTTTTTTTTTTTTGGTACTGGGAATTGAACTCAGGACCTTGCTCTTGCCAGACTGGCACTGTTCTGCTGAGCTGCATCCCTGACATAAAGCAAGAAGAAAAAAAAAAAAAAATCACAAAACTCAAAATATTTGGGTCCAAGAATAATTCCAAACATAACCTTCTTGGATTAATATAAAATTTTAATGGCAAGATGATAAATATTTCTGGGTGTAAATGGAACAAACTGATAAATACACTGTTACTTTAGAAAACCACAATCTTAAAGATGATCAAGTACATTAAAAAAGTTCCTCATCAAAACTGGAAAAAAAAGCATTATAAATATTCCCTGTTTTCAAAAGGTTATGGCATAACTAAAGGAATTAAAAAGCACAAATGGTCCAGTAGGATTTGAAGAAAGGAAGAGTGGACTAATGGAGACAGATTTGGAACAGGCCTTTAAATTAAAACAGGATTTGAGTAGAAAAGTGGGAAAAATGCCAATGCAAGGACCAGGCACTATTTAAATAAACTCTGGGAAGCAAAAATACCAAAATTTGTAAAGTGAGGTGAAGAAACCCTAAATTTTAGGACAGACCTTTGAGATTATCATATTTAACTTTAAAAAAAGAGAGAATGAAGCACAGAAAGTCAAATTCTAAAGTCACTTCCAAGCCAACTTAGAATTAGTTCATTCCTCAAACTGTGGTGTCTGAACCAGCAGTATCATTATTCTAAGAGTGAGAGAACTGCACAATCTGATTCAGAACTACAGAATCAGAAACCTAATTTTAACAAGATTACCTATCAGGATATTCATATGCACTTAAATGTTTGGATTAGCTATCTGAGAGAAATATAATGGTCAAATATGTAATTTTAAAAAGTTTAGTGTCTAAATGAAGAAAAGTAAAAACTAAATTTTTGATACTTTTTATTTACCTTAACATACTAAAAATATCATTTCAATGTTTCATTGATACATATTTTTCAGTTTAAGTTTTTTAAATTTAAATTGACTCAAACTAAAGATTCACTTCCTAAACTGTACATCTGAAGTGCTCAAAAATAGCACCAGGGGAATAACCACACTACAGTAGATAGTTAAGACACAGCCTCCAGTGTTTAGGAACACTCAGACTTCACATTTGTGTCTCCTGAAAGACTTCCTCTGCATCACATACTCAACAGCCCTCTGATGGGAGAATCAGTTTATTTTACTCATCATAGGACCTGTGTCCTATGGATATAGATTCTGAGTATAAAAAAATTGAGTATCTACAGAGAGAGCTACTTAAGGGTCAAATATATTCTTTTTCTTTTGCGGGGACAGGAACGTCCTGTGTGGCCTCAACTCGCTGCCCTCCCACAGTGTACAGAGGAGGTGAGATGCCAAGGGCCAGTTACCACGCCAGGCTTCCAACATTACTTTTCAAGCATTTCCAGCACTATCATTCTGTAGCACTCCAAACATTTATAAAATGATCTAAATATGAGTGGACTCCTCATTTAATAGTTCAGTCAATAAATATCACTAAGCTCTGACTATGCTAAGCATTCTAATAGGCACCAGGCACTCTAAAATTAGATCTCTAATTTTAAACTATGAAAAGATTTACAGAAACTACAAAAGACCTGTCTCTTCCATTCCATTATACTCATTCAATATTAAAACTAAAATAAGCAAGTATTGAAATGTTTATAAAACATAAGAATCAGGTAAAAATCCTATTAAATATCACATGAATCTGTATTATTAAGTTAGGTACTTCAGTAAGAATCTAACAGGTATTCAAATGTTCTGCCAAAATTCTCTACATCCTACTCTACCTTCTCCTCAGAAACCTGCAATGGTGTACTCTGTGTGATCCCAAGACAGCCAACTTTCGTGGACACTGCTCTGGTTAAGCTGCTCCTGACATCAGGCTTGCACCTGCCAACTGTCTTTCTCTTGTGGGTTTCTTTCTGGAACACTCAGACCTCTATCTTTCCTGACCTTTGCATAAAATCTTCCTTTTCCTCTTCTGCAAACTATCTTACACAACCATCAAAATACTTCCTAGAAATCACAGCTCATGTCTGAAACTAACATAAAAGTGAACTCTTCTGTATTTCAGTTATAAAATTCATAAATCTTACATTCTTTTCTAGACTATATTACCTAATATTACCTAAGTCATACCATGATTCTTTAAAAACTGAAGGCAAATTTAATGCCTTCATTACAAAATTAATAAGGTTAAACATATATAATAAACACAAAATTTTATACTTGCCTATTGTGAATGACTTGTAACTCTGGAAGAAGTTGGTTTTTAAACCACTGATCAAAATCAACGCTATCAAACAGTTCATAAGCAGCTAGTCCAACGGCATTATACACTGAGAAGAAAATTTAAGGAAAAAAATATTTCAAATATTTTCCCTTATTTAAGAAATGAAATGTAGAGGCTGGGGATATAGCTCAGCAGTAGAGCTAGCACGCAAGAGGCCCTGAGTTCAATCCCCAGTATCCTAGTGAAAGAAAAGAAAGAGGAAGGGAGGAACAGAGGGAGGCAGGGGCAGGGGCAGGGGCAAGGTGGGGAGGGACAGAGGCAAGAATAAGGAGAGGGGGACACAAGGAGGAGGGACAGGAGGAGGCACAGGGAAGAGTGGACAGTCCAGGGACAAGGGGAGAGACAGGGGAGGGAGAGGAGAAGGAGGAGGCGCAGAAGGAGGAGGAGGAGGAGGAGAGGAAAAGGGAGAGAGAGAGGAGAAAAAACAAACTAAAATTATTTTGAACAATGTAATACATTAATTAAGGAAAATATGTAATATATTAACCAACCACAGAGATTACTGAAATAGACATTACAGAAACTTTATTTACTTTATATTTCTCCAAAACATTCCTTTGTACTTTCAAACAAAATTAAATTCGCTTTGGTATTCAAATTATTTAGAAGCATCTGCATCTAAATGGAGACAATATTGAATGATCTGGTCCCTGGTTACATTTTTCCAACCTCATCTCTTACAACCCTTTTGCTTCTATGTTAAGCCCAAAACTAACAGTTTAAACTCTACTTTGTGCTTATTCCTTTTACCTTCAACTCTCCCACACTTACCTCTTGTACAGCTAACTGCTGCTTATCCTTCTATTCTCACATTCCACTGTACATCTTTAGAGTCTTTCACTAGGTACACCAAACCACCTTGTTTTCACCACCTACTTAAGCATTAACCATCCCATAGAGTTATAACTGATTGTCTGCTAACTTGGTTATCTGCCTCATCAGAGTTCTTACATTATGTTTATCCACTCTTGTACTTCAACTCTCCCACCCACACACACACAAAGTTTCTAAATCACTTAATTTCTAAATCACTAAATCACTTAAGTTAACATACCAGCATCTTTGATTAACAGTGCATTCATATCTTCCACATTGGTAGGCCCTTTAAAAAAAAAGAAAAGAAAGAAAAACAAAACCAAGTATCAGTAAAAGTCAATAAAATTAATTTTAAAAATTTTAAATTTACTTTTAACAGATACATAAAAACATAAAATTGTCTCTGTTAAGGGAGTAAGGTGATGTGTTGATGTATGTATGTAATGTTTAAATCATGTTACAAACACCTCAAACATTTATCATTTTTTATGTAAAAATATTCAAAAATCCTTTCTTCTAGTTTTCTGAAATGTACACTACATTCTATAATATGCTGTACAATCACACATGAGAACTTCTTAATCCAGTAACTATCACTTACTACCCAGTGACCAGCCAATCCCCATCCATTTCCCCCAGCAACCACTGCTCTATTAACTTCTACAAAATAAACTGTTTTATGTTCTACATACGAATGAGATCATATAGTACTTGTCTTTCGGTGTAAAACTAACTTATTTTTTTAAATTTTTCTTTATAAACTGAAAGTACTTAAACATATTTATTAAGTACAACATGATTTTGATTTATGAATGTGAAATAATCAAATCAAGCTCATGTGTCCATCACTTCAAATGCTTAATACTTTTTGTAATGAGAACATCTGAAATTAATTTTTTCAACAATTCCAACATGTGTAACACTCTATTAACTGTACTTGTCAGTGTTCCATAAAATTTTCAAGAATTCCTCCTTACAATCTGCACCTTTTGACGATTATCTCCCAGTCCTCCAGCTTCTATAACCATCAGTCCACATTCTACTGCTAATGAGTTTGTTTCAGATTTCACATGTAAATGAAAACAGGTGGTATCTGTCTTTCTGCGCCTGACTTAATTCAGAAAAATATTCTCAAATTCCATCTATGCTGTCAGATATGAAAATTTCTTTCCTTTTTAAGGCTTAGTATTTCACTGTATGTACATATACCACATGTCTTTATCCATTCATCAACTGATGGATGCCTAGATTTCCATATAATCACAATTTAGTGTCTCCATTCAGTAAAGTACAATCTATCATTACCCTTAGAGATCACAGATACAACATGTAAAGCCATAAACAATATTAAAAATCATTACAATATAGTGGAGAAATGTATTACAAGCAATATTCTAGAAAAACATACTAAAAATTGCTGGCTACTGTATAGTATCACTGTTATAAAAAAATTTCTTAATTAAAAAAGAAACATTCCACAGGGGGGATGCAATTCACAGAGATGCATTAAAGGAAAAAAAAAAAACCATTTCAACAGTACACAAAAGAAAGAATGACAACAAAATGAAAGAACAGACAGGAACTACCACTATGAAACGTGAAAACTTTTTAGAATAAAAAGCTGCCAATTTCTGCAATACTATTCAGGAAAGAGCACACCATAGTTGACATAGAAACCACAATGTACTAGTAAGTATATTTCTATCTAAGAGAAAAACTTCCAAAAAGATTTTCTGCTGCTAAATATGAATTGAAAACCCCACTGTTCCGAAAAGCTAGAATTAAGTATAATACTAAATAAACAAATTACTCCTGGGACAGAAAAAAACTGAACTCAGAAAGCACTGAAAACCATTTCAACAGAAAGCAACGTATCAGAATGTAACAGAAGTAGTCTATCTTCTCCTATAGTGGTTTAAACAAAAGTAAACTGATGATAGATTGTATAGAAAACATACACAATTAATAGTAATTCTGTAATCCCGCACTGGGAAAGTAGTAACTCTACAGTGCAAATCAACCATATGAAAATGCAATACTGCTCAAATCATCTTTAAAAATTAACATTATAAAATTTGACTGATCGCTCATTTTTCCCTTGCCTTACAAATTAAGCAGAAATACTATAAAGCTTTTGAGAGAACAAAAACCTAAAAGATGAACTAAGCTCTTACTACCAACAAAGTCAGGACTCCCCTTCTCTACAAGACAGTCTGTTACAGCTGTTTCCTTACATCTCTACCCACTCAATGCTTAATTCTTTACAATGATTCTTGCTCCAACTAATAATCTATTCTCTCAGAAGATTCCACTGCCTTCTGCCTCTTATAAGCATGTGACATTTTTAACAAAAGCTTCTTCTCCTAAATACATCCTGTAACTTCTCTTCGTACTTCTGGAATGCTTTCTAACCTGACTGCTTTGGTTAAGGCCTTTTACCTCCTCTAATCCCTATACATGAAATTGCAGGTGCTGCCTTTGAACTTCTTTTCTCTCCCAAAGTTCCAATATATACACAATCCAAAAGTATATACCCATATCCATCCACTATTAAGGAAGTAATCGGTTTCCTTATCATTAAAACTCAAAAGTTCAAGGAAAATTTGGTTACTTTCCCTTATGAGGCCAAAAGTGAATCCATCAACAGTTACTGACTACACCAAGCACTGGAAAAAGAATGAATAAAGCAGATGTGACCAATACCCCTGGTACTCAAGAGTCCAGCAAAAAAGGGCAGAGAACATATGATCAATGCTAATTAATAGTTAAATAATTATTTGTGTATAAAATGCAAAGATCAATTATCTAAAATTTACCTCTTCATTCTTTTAAACCATCAAGATTCCCACTGCCACCATTCTAACTAAAGCTAACATAATATTTTAACTTTATTCATCACTCCCCACAACATGCTCCAGAGAGGTGGTTTTCTCAAGCAACACAACATCCATTTCTCTAATGCTGCTATTGCATTTAGCAGGGGGAAAACCTAACTATCATATCCAAACAGTAACTCAAGGTCTATTGCAAATGTCACGCTTTCAGGAAAGAAAACACTCAATTTTTCTCAAATTTACACACTTTACATGACCTACAAAGCATTGTACATACTAGGCAGTTACACTATTTGAATAATTAAATGGCTCAATAAAAGTATTTCAAAATATACCTTACCTTGAAGAGTTTGCATCATTTCTAGAAGTACAGGAGTAAGAGTCTGATTATATTCATGGAATATATCTATAAATAGTACTTCAGTGCAAGGCTGGAGGGGGGGAAAAGGATACACTTCTAATAAAAACATAGTGTACTGATTAATTTTATAGTAAAGCAAAGAATTCTCATTCTTAAAATTCTATAAATATTTCCAACTTTTAATTTAAAGAAAGACTACTATTTCTGTAACTAACACAATGGAAAACACAAATCAAGATACAGTTTAATTCTTTTTTCATAGTTTAATTCCTGACAAAGAGAAAACATTTCATTATTTTAAATGCTTGGACTTATGCATTCAAAATCATTTTTAATCGTATTTTTAAAATAAGTAGTCTATAGCCGCATTCATTTATAGGTCCACACTATAAATGACTTCCAGGATTTAATAGCAAAAATTATGTATTTTTAGCAAAGATACACTAAGGAACCACAGCAATTCATAAATTCAATTCACCATATGAAGTGGTATTACTTCCAGCAAACACAAAGCACAACAGAAATCCATGACAAGCTATAGTAAAAACATATTGATTTTGATTCTTAAAAAGTACTATACTGAATCACTAGCTGATCCATATTAAGGAACTATAATTAAATATTATGTTTAAAAAGAAATATTTTATATGTACACTGCAATGACATATTGGATATTTCATTCAAAAAAGTTGGAGGGAAGACTGGAAACTAGACTATGCATTGACTACCGATAAACTAAGTTTTCATGAGGGCTCACCTACATTTTACCATGTTTGATCTTAAAAGAAAGTTTTAAAAAATTAAAGTAGTAAAATTTTAAAGTGTTAAAGCTCCATTTCTTTGCTTTAAAACTATAAGCTTACAAATCTAAAAACATTAATGTACATTTTAGAAAAATATTAAGTTAGGTAAATTATCTAAAAAGAGGAATTAACAAAAAGAATCATTTGATTAATACATCTGATAAATCTTCCTAAAGGCAAAACATTTACCGTATCAGTAAATGTGTCCCTAAAGCATCCTATAACTAAAAGCAATGGGCTGGTCTGAGAATCACACTAGATGGTAAGAGAAATAATGCATCAAAAAGAAGTTTTATTAAAGAAATACTTAGGAGGAGGAAAACTTATTCTAACCGAAAAAATGGCAGTATTCACTTCCAAACATTTTCCATTTGTGCAATGGCAATTACTTACCAAGCAACCCGACTAAAAACTGAAGAAAAAGTCAGTTTGCAAACATGTTAAGAAAACAATTCACACTAAAATTCAAAATTTAAACCAGGCATGGTATGCACACCTGTAACCCCAGCACTCAGGAGGCTGAGGTGGAAGGATCACTGAGCTTGAGGCCAGCCTGGACTGTATAGCAAGACTGTCTCAAAAAAATAAAAACTAAAAAAATTCAAAATTTAATGAAGTATTTTCCTGTCAAGTTTATTTCTCTGAAATTATAAACAACTGCCTGTTTGACTTAAAGTTTGGAATTTTCAGTAAGTGTCATTAAGAATTTTAGAAAAGCCTAGCTTTCCCATATCAATTTTTCTTTCAATTAATACTTACTCTCAAACTATATTTCCAAGAATCTCCTCCTGTTTCTTCCACTGCTGCAATTAAAAATATGACAAATGATGCTCTCCAGATACACAGTAATAGTATTTCCAAAATCTCACTTTGGAAAACACAGATGTGAACAACATTTCTATAACAGTTCTATAAACAGTTTAAAATATAATACTAAATGCAAATTCCTAAGAATATAAACCTACACAGATTTCCTTACCATAAGCTACAGTTTATATCCGTGTATCATACAACCACCTATCAAGTGCTTATTAAATCCATAAGCATTCTTGCTTCCATCAAAAATTTTTTATGGGGGAAAGCTCAAAGTACATGTCATTTCAGAGTACCTAACATCACATGATATAACACTACTACAATCCTTAGAATCATTTCAACATTAATCATAATTAATGATTAGAATCATTTCAACATTAATGTTGAATAGAATCATTTCAACATTAATCCTTAAAATCATTTCAACAGTAATCATATTTCTCAAGTTAAAATAATTAGTCATACTTCCCATAACTGTCTTATATGCAATTAGTTACTTTTTACTTTTTTATGACTTTTAAACATTCACATTTTTAAATACAACTCATTTACATGATGACTATTACATGATGATCATTCAAACTGTTAAGTGTTTATGGAAGGAGACAAGCCACACTAAAACAGAAAAATTAATTCTTACTAAACCCTTCTGGGTCTTCTTCCCACATCGTCAGCTCTTCTTCAGTTAATAAGAAATAATGAGAAACTAATCTTCTACATATCTCTGTCAAAGTGGGATACGTAAAGAAGGCCATCTTAATCTTATGGGCTTCAAGAGTTTCAGGGCTGCTATCTAGAAAAACAGAATTCAAAGTTAATTGCACAGCTAAAGATTCTAACTAAGTTGGATTATATAACTTAAATTTAAAAATAAACTCTCAGAAGAAAAGATACACTTATTCATGTATAAATGATCATTTTTATTATGAACAAATTTCAAAGACACTATTTATAATACACCTACATCAGTATAGCCCTGTTTTACCACCACAGCTGGTATATTACTGCACTCTATTATCACAGCATATTACAGTGTTTGACCCTCTCTCTACCTACAAACTTTTTCTCTGGTCTTAGTAAATCTGCAAATGAATGAATTCAAATTAACGTAACAATCTAACATGCCTTCAAGCAACCTCACACTTTTGATTGTTCAAATGAATATAACCTAAACATGAATGCAGTGATTTTTTTTTTTTTTTTTTTTTTTTTTTGAGACAGTGTCTCACTATGCAGTTCAAGCTGGCCTTCAACTCACTGTTGCCCAGGATGGCCTCAAATTCACAGCAATCCTGCCTCAGCCTCCTGAGTGCTGGAATTACAGGCATGCACCACCACACCTAGCTTAAGTGATTATTATTGTATATAATTCCTAGTCCTTAAACTTCAATGGATCGTCTACTGTGCTATAAAAGAATTTATTACACACACTGTATTTTTTTTTAAAAAGCTGATATTCACATATTAAGGACTATACTCCTTTTCTCCATTTCATGTCTCTGTAGTTTATGTTTCATGCTAAGCCAAACGAATTTCAAGAAAATTTTATATCAAATAGTAATTACATCATATTTCCTTAAAATAAATGAAAACAAATCTAACAATAGAGTATTACCTTCAAAATTTTTGGACGGCTTATAAGCATAATTTTTGACAATCATTTTAATAAGATTCATGCACTGGACAATGAATCGTTCAAAGGTAACGCCTTCACCAACTTCAGTAAAAACATAGCTTACAGAAAATTCCAATGATCTCTGAATTAGAGGAATAAATGAAAAGGGATGCTGATCCAAGAAGTCCAAAAGCTGTAAAGAAAAAAGCTAAAATGTATTTTCTCCAAATTCACATTGAATATAATCCCTCTCCAATTACAACCCTACTAATAAATATTTAGCAAGTTTTGAACCTTGGTCGGGAGATTATGCATACCAATATCTGGTTTACTTTATATGTATGATAACCCTTTTTAGAGCATAGCTTATAATGTGGATTTTTTCACATTATGTCTCAAAACAAGCATGTTCATCTGAAAGGTACAATAGACATTGTGAAAGGGAAAGAAACTGCTCAAAAGGAAAGAATGACTAGGATGAGGAAAAAGAGAAAAGAAAGAAAGAAGGGAAAAATATGTATATACATACACACAAGATAGCTAAGACAATTGCACTACTAATCTCTATTGCTTTATTGAAAGGAATAGTTAGTGTTTAATTGTTTGATCAATCTTACATGCCTACATTTGTTTATCTGAGTAACCAATTTGTAGATACCAGTATGTAATACAACAACCATTGTTAATTGCCTATCACCTTTTCTGAAATTCTGTATTGCTTTTATTGTTTTTGTGTTGTTTTGTTTATGTCTGTGTATTAAGTTGTTTTGGTTCTTTCTCTTAAAATAAGAAAATAGACCTGAAATAAGTAGAAGAGAAATAAACCTAAAGTTTAAAAAAAAAAAAAAAATTCTATTATTTCTACTATGGTACCCAAAGATCCACTTCACACTTAATTTGACAAAACCTAATAAATATGGTATGAAAAGCAGTAAGTATTTAAGGACAAGCTTTTTAAAAATAATAGATAACAGGAAAGAATTTTAAAAAAATAATAATCCTACTCTTCCTGTATGATCTGTATTTCAATGTACAAATACTTCTCATGAAGGAGATTTCTTTATAGAAGAAGTCCTGCTAATAAATGCAAAAGAAATAACAGAACACCACCCTTTTGTAACCCAAATCATATAATGGATCTAGAGGGAAGGCTGCTGAAGAACTATGATAGCTCACGCATCAATCTTAGCCACAAAAACAGAGATTACCAGATACTGTGTGCCTCCCAATGTGATGCAAAATAAATACACAGCACCACCTAAGAGTATCCTTGTCATCTCTATCCAAAAACAACAAAATAAAAAGCCTAAATATGTTCAAAAGCTTTCAATGATAACAAACAGCTCGCTGCAGCACATATGCCATAGGCTCACCACTGCTGTGTAGATCTAACTACAAATTTATAAGAAATATGGGGGGAGGGTAGAGACAAAGGAATATATCCATAGGGATAAAAGCAGCCAAGTTCAAAACATGAAAAACACTACATAAATGAAATGACCTGCTATCTCAAAAATTAATCAGAAAGGACAGGAAAAAAAAAAAGCACCATGGAAAGGTAACTGACCCCAATGGAGTACCAATTCAAACAGCTCAACCATAAAAAATTTATAAGACAACCAGTAAAATCTGAAAATTAACTAGATATTTAAATAATATCAAGAAGTCATTACTACATTTAAATGTGATAACCACAATTAAGATCATTTTTAAGAACTATTACTTAGAGATAGTTATGTAATATATGGGACCTGCTTTAAAATAATGAGCAGGGAACTGAGCAAGCACAAATCAAACAGAATTAACTGACCATGACTATACAGCGATATTTGCTGAAGCTGAGTAACAACCTAACGGGAATTCAAAGTTAATCAGTTCTACTTGGAGGCATGTTTGAAGTACTCCAATTTATAAGTTTTAGTAAGGCTTAAGAGATTATAAATATTAATTTATAAGTGAAATTGTCAACCTGTTCTAAAAAGAATAAATTTCAGATATCTATCCACATTACCACCTTAAAAGCTACCAATTACCACATTACCAACTTGAAAATCCAGCGGTTGCCATTCAATCTATTTTCTAAAACAGACTACATAACACTTTCTAAATCTTATTTACAGCCGGGCATGGTGGTACACGCCGTAACCCCAGCACGCGGGAGGCTGAGGCAGGAGGATTGTTGTAAGTTCAAGGACAGCCTGGGCTACAAAGCAAGTTCATGATGAGCCTGAACTGTATAGCATGACCCTGTCTCAAAGACAATAAATAAATAAATAAATAGATAGGTAGATAGATAGATAGATAGATAAAGAGACAGACGGACAGACAGATATTTTACTTCAAGTACTTCATAAGCTACGAAGTGTTCCTAATTGTTACAACTTAATTCTTCACGTCTCTCAATTCTCCAATCCCAAAATGTCTTAAAAGTTATATAAAAAGTTTTATCCAAAATGTATTCACACTGCCTAGCACAGGGGTCCTTATGATTCTACTCAAAGCCTACCTGATATTGATGATGATAATCTGATAATCATTCTGAATATACTGACTTTCTCATATCATAGTGCCTGGGATATCTGACCTATTAAATTGAACAATTATCTTTCTTATTTGTTCTTTCTCCAGTTGGTCTAAGAATAATGAGCTTTAGAGGAATAAACTTCTCTAATGTTTTTTAGAACTGACCATTTTACATCAAGATGACTTACACACTGTGATATATAGTCTATAAATTTTATTATTACATACAAAAATGATTTTTTAGCTTTCCTATAGTCCAAATACACTTCCTTATGCTAAAATGAAAATCCACGACTACCAGTATATTCTCCTTTCCAAAGAAGTTTTTTGTGTGTTATATTTAAGAAAATGTACTTAATGTAAAAAAAAATCTTACCACTTTAGTAAAAAGAATGATGGTTTTTTCCAGTCTGTCTCTACATACATTATCTGTACCTATATTTCTACCTGTTAAAAATACATTACAAATATTAGTACAAGTTTACAGTAGTCTAAAAATTCACACTAAAATTTTTATAAAAACAATATTGCCAGTTATCTTTGCATTTAATAAAAGACACAGTAATCATGAGTGCCACACTGTACAAAGTTAATCCTAAAATATGAACTGAACTCATTTAAAATAAAAGAGTAACAATTTTAGCAATAAGTCATGAATTATATTTTCAAAGACTAAATCAGTCACAGTCAAGTATTTCTCAAGCAACATAAATCACTCAGGGTGTCATACTCATTATTAATTTTCCTTTATCTTCTGACCTATGGTATAATTTTGTACATTCAGATTAATGTCCATCAGTCTATCAACTTGTCTGTTCTCTCATCATACTCTTCACAATATTTTGTCATTTATCTCATTGTATTCTGACCTCTTCCTTCTACTACCCACTATGACAATATCCAGAAAAAAATTAATTTTTTCTCAACTGTCTAAACTATATGCGCTATCTTATTTATCTTTGCATGCACAATACCCAAGGGAGTGATTGGCAACAGTATCAACAATATTTTTATTACATTAAAAATAACTGACAAAAAACCATCAACACCCCTAAAAGTAAGTAGGTTGAGATATTTTCCCAGGGTAGACAGTCACCAAATACACAGATAAGACAGACAGAGAGACTAAAAGACACTCACACACACACACACACACACCCCACACACACCACAGTATATGAGTGCATATGTGCATCCTGAGCAAAGAGGTTTACCATCACCTGGAAGGGAAAAGCATAACAAACAGGCCACCAGGAAAATAAAGCATAAATGATAAATTCTCTGTAGGGCAAAGGATTACAAAGGTTCCTAAAGCTAAGATAAGGGGCTGGGGATTTAGCTCAGCAGCACAGCGCCTGCCTGGCAAGCACAAGGTCGTGAATTCGATTCCCAGTACTGGAAAGAAAAAAAAAAAAAAAAAAAGCTAAGATAGTGGGATGTAATGAATAAGAGATGTATAAAATAAAGCTATCATTCAAAAGAATGTATATCAAAGTAACACATAAAATATACTAAAAGATATAGGCTCTACAAAAAGTCTAAACAGCATTTGGCATATATACACTTAATATCTGTTAAACATATGATTATCATGGATATCCAGCTGGCAAAGGGCAGTAACAGGAGAAATGAGAAGAAGGAAAAGACAAAATATAGGATTTTTATAAAAGGTTTCTCTATACTCTGGATAAGACATATACATAAATTCAAACCTAAGCTTCCAGTCTAATTTCAAAATGTTCCCAAGATATAAGATATTATTTTTAGTCACAAGCTAAGATCGAAGAGCTCATTCAGATTGTTTCAACAAATAGGTCACTCAGACAGAATACTTTCTCCAGATTTGTATGTAGAAGATATTAATGAGTAAAGATTAATGCATGAACACTTATTAATCCTTCATTAATCTTAGCTATTAATGAAAAAAGTTACACTGAATAAGAATTCTACAATTAAAAACTACTGCATTAGAAATACTTACTACATTCCAGAAACTGTTTTAGGCGTTCAAATATTCCATGTAAAAAACCCTGGAAAAGAACACATTTTAAAGTGTCTCAATTTACTCTAAGCATTTACCTTATTCTTTTTTCAGGAAAACTAAAACCTATCTAGCCCATCATTTTAACAAAAAGCTAAAAAATAATAAGCTAAAATTAGGTAGTATAAGAAATACATTATTATAAACAAATCTGCAAGAAAATAACTGCAGTGATTCATGTCTCCAATATCTCATTTCAAATAAATAACTATTTTACTTCAAGTACTTCCTAAACAGCCAAGTGTTCCTAATTGTTATGACTTAATTCTTCGCATGTCTCTCAATTCTCCAATCCCAAAAGTCATAAAAGTTATATAAGTTAAATAAAAAAATTTATCCAAAATGTATTCACACTGCCTAGTACAGGAGTCCTTATGATTCTACTCAAAACATATATGATATTGACGATGATAATCTGATAATCATTTTGAATATACTGATTTTCTTATATCATACTGCCTGTGACATCTGATCTATTAAACTGAACAATTTTTCTTTTTTTTGAGACAGAGGCTCACTCTGCAGTTCAGGCTGGCCTTGAACTCACTATGTAGCCCAGGATGGTCTTAACTCACAGCAAACCTCCTGCCTTAGCCTCCCAACTGACACATCATTTTTCAAAATTATTAATTTTTCATTAAGCACTGTTTCACTAAATGCTCTCCACACCTTGATATGCTTAATTTTCTTCACAGACCTTATAGTATCTACTGAGCCATTTTTTATTACTTGGTTCCTCGAGAGCAAAAAGTTTTTGTTTATTGTTCTATCCCAGAATCTACAAATAAAACCTACGAACTGGGAAAAAATTTTATCCAATTGCCCATCAGACAAAGGACTCCTATCTAGAACATATAAAGAATTAAAACAAATAAGGCTCCCAAAATTCAAAGACCCAATCCAAAAATGGGCATCTGAGATGAACACACACCTCTCAGAGGAAGAAATACTAATGGCAAATAAATATAGGAAAAAATGTTCAACATCATTAGTCATTCGAGAATTGCAAATTAAAACAGCACTGAGATTTCATCTCACTCCACAAAGAATG